GCACTATTTCTGGCAGTCTGCAACCCCCCTTTTTCTAGCAGTTTCGGTCCCCTCACCTGTAAAATGGGGGATAGTAAGTGAATTGTTTTACTAAGGGGTGAAACAAAATAATGTATATGTTATTTATTTACTTAATTTATATCCTGCCCATTTCCCCAATATAAGTGAATTATTTTACTAAGGGGTGAAACAAAATAATGTATATGTTATTTATTTACTTAATTTATATCCTGCCCATTTCCCCAATACAGAACTCAAGACAGCTCCTATTATGCATTAAAACAAAATACAGTTAAAAGAATGGTTCAAACAATAGATGAAAATTAAAATAACAATTACACAATCAGTTTTTGTGGGTTTTTCGGGCTGTGTGGTCGTGTTCTAGAAAAATGTATTCATGACATTTCACCTGCATCTGTGGCTGGCATATTCAGAGAATGATGGAGGTGTGTGGGGTATATTCCACAATCTGGGAGCAGCCACTGAGAAAGCTCTTTTCCATATCCTCACCAAACTTCCCTGGGATGGGGTTATGGTAAAAGAAAGCCCTCCCCTGAGGATCTTAAAACTCAGACAGGCTTATGCAAAGTTTAAAAGCTATCTGAAATAGTCATATGAATACTTCAAAGTGCTGGATAATAGCTACAATCAACAATAATTAGTACTGCTGTTTCATCCCCCTCCCCCAAAATTTTGTGACCACACTACTGCTTGCATTGCCTTTTCAATTGGCTAGAACCAAAAATTGAGCAAACCAAGTTGTCAGCTCAACATCTGCCCTTATCTGTGTTTTGACTGAACTTCGGCAGTGTTTTGAGAACTTGCTCCGCACATAATGAAGGCATGTAAGACAGTAAGCAATTCTAGCAGCAGTAACTAAAACTTGAATGCTAAGTGAAAATTAAACAATTTGGCCTTTCCTTTACACACATTTTAACATCTCAACAACAAAAAAGTAAATAAAGCTAGACAGGGCTATTACACAAAAAAAGGGATTGGGTCAAAACTGCCCTTTTGAGGGTAACTGTGCCATACATAAGAAGCTATTCTAGAAATAATATATAGTGGAACAAATCACTCTTTGGTCTTGGCAACAACATTCAGGCATTTAAAAAACTTGCATCACATAAATAGCACCCTATGAAAACTCAAGAAAAGATATACATTTGTGTGCACAACAAGCAACAGACATAACAGACTACAGAGAGGGATTAAAAACAGATGAATTTAATTCAAAATTCATACCCATTTTGCCACCCATGTGCCCAAAACATGCAAGATCTTCAAAAATACTGTAGCAGTAAGAAAAGGCCATGTTTTCTTTCTCAACATTAGCCTCGGGGCTGAATGATCCCCACCCTTCTCTAAAGATAATTTTTTCCCTTTATTAATTTTTAATCTGCCACTTGACTAAACATTTCCAATTGCTCCACCAATCTTATTACACTTTCGGTCGGGTCTGAAATGGTAAGAAGATCATTGGCATAGGTCAGGGGTAGGCAACCTTTGCCCTTTAAGGGCCGAGGGACTTCAGCTCCCAGAATCCCAGGAGCTATTGGCCAACATGGGACTATTGGCCAACATGACTGAGGCTTATGGGAGCTGAAGTCCCTCGGCCCTTAAAGGGGAAAGGTTGCCTACCCCTGGCATAGGCTTTTAATTTATGTTCATACCCTTTATATTTAATACCTTTTATAGTCTCATCTTTTCTAATGTTATTATTTAGTATTTCCATAACCATTATAAATACCGTATTTTCCGGCGTATAAGACGACTGGGCGTATAAGAC